GGTATTTACACATGTGGGACTTATTTATTTCACTTAGGAGTATATCTTCAATATGTATCCATTTTCCTATGAATGAATCTATTCTCTCGCTCTTTATGGCTGAGTAATATTCCATTTTATAGAAAAACCACAACTTCTTTATCCAGTTTCCAACGGATGGGCAAATAGGTTGTTTCCAAGATTTAGCTATTACAAACTGTGCCGCTATAAACATGGGTGCGCATACTTCTCTGTGATATGATTCTTTTAGTTCTCTTGGAAAGATACCCAACAGAGGGATGGCTGGGTCAAATGGCACCTCCAGTCCAAGCTCTTTGAGGTATCTCCATATTGATTTCCATAGTGGTTGCACTAGTCTTAGGCAGGTTCTTTTATACTTCTTTATATTATAGTATCATTTTTCCCAAGACTCAGCCCTCTGCCATATTTTCTTCCCACTGTAGACACTTTCTCTGGCCAATTCCATTCAGTCCCAAAGCTTTTACCATCATCTCTCTTAATGTCTCACTGTTATCGCTCAGATCTGTGCCATTGTATTCTAGTCACCCATTCTCAGACCCCTCATGGGGTCTCATAGCTTCATTTAGATAATTCTAGTGCCCCAACCTGGACACGTCATCACCTTTTCCCTCAGAATTTAGTATTTCTTTTGCCATCCCTGTTGCATTCGGTGGCATTAGACCAAGCTGGTCTTAACAGTCATCCTAGGTGCTTCGGTGTTGGTCATTTTCTACATCAAACTGGTCACGTCATCAGGTATTGTAGTTACAGGTCTCAAAAACAAGGCTTCTTGGGCTGGGGGTTTAGCTCAGTGGTTCCACCGCCTGCCTCAAAAGTGCAAGGTCCTGAGTTCGATCCCTGGTACCAAAAAAATAAAACAAAATAAAAAACAAGGCTGCTTCTTCATTTCCTGTTGTCATTGCTTTTGTCCAGACACCTTATTTTAGGACGTAAGATCTTTCATGGGTGCATAACCCTTCCTGGCCAATTTCTATCACATCTTTTTCCCAAGGCCTCGTAACTTCAGCTGACTTGTTCTTCGGCCCCCATTTATTTCTCTAACCTGGCTTGAAATGCCCTTTTCCCATGTTAGGCTGGGTAGTAACTGCCTTACCCTTCAAGGTGAAGCTTTCTTTACTTGTCCTATGGAAAGTGCTTTCCTCTCCCTGGGCTTTCAGAGCCCAGCTCTGCCTCCAGGATGACACACAGCTGGTTATGCAGTCCTTTCCTACTTCCATGTTTCTCTTTGTCAGAGTGGAGACTACTTATTAATTTTTGCCTCTCCCATGCCCACAGTGCATATAGCACAAAGTAAGTTATTTAAATGCTTAATATTTAGTCACACTTGCCTTATATGATCGTCATAAGGTCTGTTGTACTCATGAAGGTTTTTTGAAATTCTAGGAAAATCCAGAAACTCAAATATTGACCCAGAAATGAGCAATTTGCTTTTAAAATGCTAAGCAAATGTTTTATTATGGATTTTCTTCCGATTAAATGTAGCCATGTTTTTAACTTTGTTCAATTCTCAGGACTCATGACATTACTCCAGATTTTCTAGAGAATTGAAAATCTCTGCTATTTATTGGTATCCAAAATCACAAGATTGTCTCCAGACATTCAAATTTTTCTTCACTTCCATATTTTAGACTTTGAAACTTTTTATCCTAAAATGTGAATGATATCCATGCTTTCTCTCTTTCATGGTGTTTAGAAGCTGAATAACATCAACGATATCCTGAAGTCTGTGTTCCTGATATTCCCGCATTTTTGCCTGGGACGAGGGCTCATTGACATGGTGAAAAATCAGGCAATGGCTGATGCCCTGGAAAGGTTTGGTGAGTGAAACAGGGGCTGCAGCATGCTTTCATGGAGGTGCTAGTCTGTATGGGTCTTGGTATCCTCGTCTTTTGTTTTAGGAAGTGGACTTGAGTCTGGCACTTTAGACCACTCGCCCATCCTGACACTGGTCTTTGGCTTTGGAAAAAGGTTACTGGGTGAAGGATGTATGGTCTTCTCGTTCTTGCCTGAGGGCTAAGGCAATGCAGCTTGTCTGGCACGGGCCTTGTGACCCAGCCATTTATCTGTAACCTTCAAAGCATTTACATAAGTGAAAGAGCAATATTGGAAATTTTAAAAAATGTTGGCATTTGGTTGAACCCAGCGCCTAATACTGCTGGTTTGATTTTTGGGAATCACTGGAAAAGTTAACCCACAGCTTTGGGAATTAGATACAGGCCAGAGAATCCTAAGGAAACATGAACACTTTAACTCTATTAGGAAAATCATGGATGTGCAAATGTGGTCATATATTTTGTTTTACACAGACTATAAAGGGATAATTTACTGCAGCTTTTTCTAACTTTAAATGGTTTAAAATATTTCCTCTATCATCATATGACTATCATTCATCCACTGATTAGTATAGTAAGATAGACCATAGTATTTAATGGTGATAGAAGCGGGGCTTTTTTCAACTTGGCATTATGAAAGAGATGTGCTAAGGTAATAAAAAATTGGGGGAATATTTATGAAAAACCTGGTAACTGAGTCACTAGGTTATACTATATGGTATTGAAATAGGGATCTTCTTGATGTTTTTTCTAATATTTCTTGACTCATAATTTATTAAAATACTAAAATTATTCTAGATTGTTTGCCTTACTTAAAAGGATTTTTTGGTATGTCTCACCAAAAAGGCAATATTAGCTATCTTACCTGAAGTTATAGCTCTAATACAGGCTTTCACTGAAATTCTGGTTGATAGAGGTTTGTGCTGTTTCCTTAAATTAGACTGAAAACATAGTCATTCTCTTGTTTGTTTTTCTCCTTGTTGTAGATAACAGCCACTGGCATTACTAGAAAAATAGGTGAACATGACCCCAAATTTGAGAGAGTTCTGGTTTTTGGTGTCTCCATGCTGATGGAATCTTTGCATTGTGTTTGCCAGGGGAGAACCGCTTTGTGTCACCACTCTCTTGGGACCTGGTGGGACGAAACCTTTTTGCCATGGCAGTAGAAGGAGTTGTGTTCTTCCTCATTACTGTTCTGATCCAATACAGATTCTTCTTTAGGCCAAGGTAAGCTTTTTCTCAGAACTCACGGAGCACTTGTTTGAAGGTCACAGAGAAGGAAATGGGGAAACATTCGTTAGATGGTTGGCTTGAATGAGTTCAGATATCAAATTGACTTTTCCTATTGTGACATTTCCTAGCCCCCAGTCCTGCAGACTATGGCAAGTTGGTTTTCACAAGTTTGTATTAGAGGGCACAGGTCCCAAGTTCTATCCCCAGTACCCACCCCCAATATATATATATATATGGCACTACAGACTGGAGTTTTGACTTGAGAAAGTTTGAAAGGTTGATTTAAAAAATTTTTTTTCTAAGACCTGTGAATGCAAAGCTTCCTCCTTTGAATGACGAAGATGAAGATGTAAGGCGAGAAAGACAGAGAATCTTGGATGGTGGAGGACAGAATGATATCTTGGAAATCAAGGAGTTGACTAAGGTAAGATAGTGAGTATGGACTATAATAGCTTGTCTTCAGTTTTTTCAGTTTTTTATACGTTGGAAACTAGCATTTTGTTGACTTTCTCAATTAAAAAAAAAGCCTGCTTCCCAAATATGCATCTGTACCAAGCTTCTGTTGATATTATTTAAAACATACCACAGAAACTTCTTCACTAAAAAAATCCTACTGAGAATACTTCTGTAATGTGAATTCTCATTCTTGAACTTATTTTGCATAGTTACATTTATGTGTTAGTTATTAAACCATACTAATATTATGTACCTGGTCAAAGCTGAAGTAGAGTAATTTTGAGGTTCATAGTCCAAAGAGCTGATACAGCTCCATTGCTTAGAAGGAGGATCTATTACAGCATCTATTTCTAGATGTCAAAATCCTCAAATTTCACTTTCATGTAATATTTATATTTGAAGTTTTTATTTTAATTTAAAAATATATGCAATATTTATGTCAAATGAAAATATATGCAGATATTAATGATTAATATAGAATTTTTTAAAGACTAAGATTAAAAAACAGAAAGAAAATGTTTTTATTTTGAGCTTCAGAGTCAGTAAGAAGCTGGTTGTCACAGTGACAGAGTAAAGCTCTTAGCACATCAAACAGGTGACTTAGTTTTATTGATGAGTCTCATTTTGTGGTGTGTTTGGCTTATAATCCCTTCTCCTTCAGTTGCTTGGGAGAGCTGTGAGTTACTGAGCCTCATAAATTTTTGCAATTTGTTTGTTGCAGATATATAGAAGGAAGAGGAAGCCTGCTGTTGACAGGATTTGTGTTGGCATTCCTCCTGGTGAGGTAAACACACTTTGTCTGCACTGTTTGTCTCTATTAATTCAGACCATATCTACACAATCAAGCCACAGTGTCTATAAAGGATAAAGTGGCTTCTCTACTTATGCCTGCGTAAAGCAATCAGTCATGAAGAAGAGAACAGGGACCACTTTTATCAAAAAACGATTTGGGATAATCTCAGGCAGTTTAAGAAAAGCATGTACATCTAAAACATGCTTTTGTGACCTATTTGAGATGATGAAATTCAGATAGGTTAGAAAAAAAGATGTTTTTCTTTCTCATTTTTGTTTATTCTTTTCTACTTGTTTTTGGTACCAGGGACTAAACTCACATCCTTGAGCAGGCATGGAACGAGTGAGCTAGATCCCCTGCCCTATTCTTTTATATTCTTTAGCCGAACTATGTAACTATAAATATATATTTATATATTTCTATTTATTGACTAGCTGGCTTCCATTACTGTTTTTCACATGTTAAGTTTCGGTCTCAACCTAACATTTCAATGTTTACAAACACGTCTACACTTACAATTATCCCATTGTAAAATATATATTTAGATAGTATATGATCTTTTAAAACCAAGAAAATGTTTGCCTTGTCACTGATACTTACGAATGATGTCTTAGGATCTTGTTATAAAAATTAAACTCAAATTACTGTCAGAGGACACTTATATTTAGATTTAATAGTTTGCTTGTACAATTCACTTAGTTTTACTCTTTTAGTGCTTTGGACTTCTTGGCGTTAACGGTGCTGGCAAATCATCAACCTTCAAGATGTTAACTGGAGATACCACTGTTACCCGAGGTGATGCCTACCTTAACAAAAACAGGTGAGAAGAGTAGGTTGCCTATGTTCTGCTGCAAAGACTTTTCTTCAGCTTAAATAATACATTGCTATTTTTCTGATTGTAACAATATTATTTAGAGCTTATAAAAATATTGAACTACAGTAAAGTATAAAGAACCTAAAATCATCCTCAATTTCAGTACCTAATCAGTATTCACAGAGTCTTACAATCTCACACTATTCTTTTTAAGAGCTTTATTCAGATATATACATATAGTTCACTTGTTTTAAGAAAACAATTCAATGACTTCTTAGTAAGTTTCCAGAATTCTGCAGCTATTACTACAATCCAGTTTCATAATTTTTCATCACCCCAAATCTACCCATCTATGCATGTAAATGCATTACAAAGTCAAGATCATACTGTATATAGTTTTCAGAACTGGTTTTTGTTATTAATGAATATGTTATGAATATTTTCCAGTAGGTTACAAGATGTAGAATTTACATGCTACATAAAATTCCCATGTACATGTACCTAGAAGTTATTTAATCAATTCCTTAGAAATGTTGGACATTTATTAGTTGTCACTGTTCACTATGTAAATGTCCTCGTATACAACTTTTATCATTCCTCAGAGAAAATTTCTACAAGGTGAAAAGGGATATGCCTACAAAATTGCCCACTTTGAAGGGTATAAAATTCTCACTTTCTGAGACGGTACAGATCACTGAACAGTCTGATCTTCAAGGATACAGCTACATATTAGAGGCTTGTTAGAGAGTATTACTCTTGAGCACTGTAAATGTATGGGGCATCTCCAGGCTTTTTATGTGGGTAAATGGTACAAGACAGTGACTTTCAAACTTTTCTAGCCATGACCCATATAGAAAATACATTATATATTTCAACCCAGTGCATACACAGACACATAACCATAAAACTTAATGAAAAATTTCATAAGATGGTACCAATATTACTACATTCAGTGCATGTTAATATTTCTTATGCTATTCCATACTCTGTCTTTTTTATTTTTGGGTACTGGGGATCGAACTTGGGCCCCTGTGCTTGTGAGATAAGTGCTGGAACCCCTGAGCTAGATACCCAGCCCATACTGTGTCTTTTAAAAAGTGCTGGTTGTGACCGCCTAAGTTTATCTCACAACCCACTGGTGGGTACTGACTTGTAATTTGAAAACACCATACAGGGGGGTGGCTGGTAATATTGAAGGATAAGGAACTTAATGTAGTCATTGATCTACTCCCATCTCTTACCAGTATTTTCAGTATCAGTGTAAAAGATTCTTAAGAGAATAGAAATTCTCAGAATAGTGCTGCTTCACCAGCTGTATTCCAAGTATCAATCTTCTGGAGCATATAGCGTTAGCAGCAATAACTGGCCCAAACTAAGGTTTGTCACACTGATTGGTTATAAGAACTGACTTGGGCAGTTTGAGGGCCATGCACAATGTCCATGGGTATCTCAGTCATAATCCAGAAAAGGCTGACCCTGGGAGTACTAAATAGATATGCACAGCAGAATGTCTGTTACTGAAGGCCAAGTTCATGGCTGGCTGGAGGTGGCTGAACATTGGTCCTCAGAGGGGGATGTAGATTCTGAATTTGGGAGTTTTTTACCCATTAGGAATTCTTACACTGATTGGCTTTCCAGAAAGGGGGGATATCTGTCTGTCTGTCTGTCTATCTATATTTGTAGGTAATTTTTTTCCACTGCTAGATTCTTAGAGTATTTATGATTTAGAAACAAACAAAAGACAGACAAACCTGAAAAAAAAAACCGCTTTAACAGCTAGGAGGGTGTCAGGGCTAAGTGTTCAGTGGGACCAGGATGTCTAAAATATACACACAATATGGCTGAGTCAGTGTATGGGCAGCAGAAGGCAGAGGGAGCTCACATCCAGAAGCGTTGGGCCTTCTCTGGGTCCAGATGGTTCCAGAGATGACATTAGAGCAGTAAGGCATTTGGTACATATGACTGGGTTACATGGTCAGTTAAGTCTGGGATGAAGATGTAGTGTTAAAGCTCCAGGATAGCGTGACTAGGGTTGTTGGTGAAGACTCAGCTACAGTTGGCATGGACTCAGGAATTTGGAAATGGGACTTAGCCTGCAGACTGAGGTGCTGGGAAAGCCAGGTGTGAGAAGTGGGCAGGGTAGAGGCAGGACCCTGACTGCCAGGAAGAGCTGCCATCCTAGGGGCAGAAAGGCCGTTCCTTCAAATAGCAGCAGGTATATGGATGCCTTTGTTTTGCATAAGCATACTTTATAGGGACATTAAGCCAGATAGTCTGATGAGGATATCTCTAAATGCTTAAAACCTGACCGGTTTTGTTTTTCTTTTTCTTGGCAGCATCTTGTCAGATATCCACGAAGTACATCAGAACATGGGTTACTGCCCTCAGTTTGATGCCATCACAGAGCTGCTGACGGGGAGGGAGCACGTGGAGTTCTTTGCCCTCTTGAGAGGAGTCCCAGAGAAAGAAGTTGGCAAGGTACTTTAGGCAGAGAAAGCAAGCCTGCTCTTGGCACCCTGACAGTATACCACACCGCTTTTTCTTCGTGACACTGACTAGGCTGTATCACATAGAGTGATGTGAACCACTGATTCTTGCACTTGCTTTCAGGGTGGGAACCCCTCGTGGTGAAGGGTCAGCAGGGAGTGAACAAGCATAGGCTGGAGGACAGAGGGAGATTTGTGCCCACCACACAAGTCCCTTCTCCCTGCTCTTGGTTCCTCAGCAGTGGCTAGATTGTGGTTACAGAATCTAGTCCTACTCAGGGAAAGAACTTTCGTATGGAACAAAGCATGACAAAATTACCAAGCCAGAGAAAAGTCAAGGTGCCTTTTATCTCTCTAGGTTGGTGACTGGGCAATTCGGAAACTGGGCCTGGTGAAGTATGGAGAAAAATATGCTGGTAACTATAGTGGAGGCAACAAGCGCAAGCTTTCCACAGCCATGGCTCTGATCGGCGGACCTCCTGTGGTGTTTCTGGTGAGTGGTACTGTGGATGGAGCTGTTCTGGCTTGAAAATACAACTTCACTTTTCCAAAGTCCTGTGTGTCTGGGATAGTTTTATGACTAGCATATTGGTGCTAAGTTGCCCTCCAGGAATGGCAGAGTAGCTTTGGAGAAGAAGAGCAAAGCTTCTCCCTCAATACATGCGTTGCTCAGCCACACCTTTGAATGCTCCCCAATAAAGACACTCGAAGCACCTTGTTTTTTCTAGCTTGGTCTATATCTATAGGTGTGACTGAGGCTGAATGTATGATTGATCTTTCCCTGGAGCGTTCTTTCTGACCATCTGTGTGTCCATGCCCTGGATACAGCATCCACCCTAGCAACTGGATTGCACTTCCCTATACACAGATAGAAGGAAGACAGAGTGGCCTTTGACCCTCTTTTTTCTGTAAAGGAGAAGGACACTGAAGGTATTACAAGAAGCTTTGGAATGAAGCCTTAGTGTTCTCCAGGCTGAATGATTTGGAGTTTCTCAGTGCCAGGGTAAACTGAAGTGAACTAAAATCAAAAAAGAAAAGAGATTTTACTCAAATATTATCCTGACTTCAATAGAATTTTCAGACAAAAAGCATATTTAATTTATACTTATCAGTCATGAAAGATGATTAAAACTAATGACTTTTTTCCTTTCCCTATTTATTTGGGCAAATTTGTTCAAATCTATTACTCAGAATATCTGAGTTTCGTGCTTCAATGAGACAACAGTATGACCTTGTAACAAATGAGTTTGAAACTTACTGTGGATTTTTTTTTTAATTTATCAAGAAATAACTAGGGGAATTGACAATGTGAAATAGGAAAAAAAGGTCTAAAGGTGTAGGGAAAGTGTGAAGGGTAGGGGAAAGGTAATAAGGAAAAGGAAAAAAATAGGAGAAAATAAAAAAATGGAAATAAAATGTTTGTAAAGGAGGAGGGGAGGAGGGGGTGAAGGGAGGGCAGGGACAAGGGGAAAAAATGAGAACCAAGACCGGTCATGTAAAGGTACAAGATCCCAATAATGAATGCAACTGTACTGTATACCTAAAATGTACCAATAAACTCAATGAAGAAAAAAAAAAAAAAGAAATAACTACGGGGATAAGTCAAATTTTAGGCCACGTTAAAGATACTTCAGTATTTAACCATTTCCTGTTTAGAAAAAACAGTGCAGTTTGCTCCCAACATTTATGTAGTTTTACATAAAGACACTCTTCAAGGCTGAAGCAAATCTGACTGGCTTTTAGAATAAAAATAAATTTAAAAACTGTCCTTTGAGTTATTTCTAAACAGAACTTATCTCTAATCCTAATGTAACAGAAATGTATAAGATGATCAGTATTTAATAGTTCTTTTTTGTGTGGTAAATTTCAAACCACAGAACAACACAAAGCAGACTGAGGTGCTTTGGTGCTGAGGTGCACATTCTGTGCAAAAATACATTTTTCTTGGCATTCTTGTTGTGCAAACAGCAAATTTTAACAGTGACCAAACTTTGCAGAGCTGTGTGAAACTAAGAAAAAAGTGAGATATTTCATGGCAAACTTTGGGGATAATCTGTAAATTACCTAGGGGTAAAGGCTACAGCTACAAGTGCTGCTGGTAAATATTTTGGGGTCAAACAGGAAATAGGACAAATACACCCTTTATGTTATTTTGATACAGGGAATAATAAAACTTACTTTAATTACAGGATGAACCAACCACAGGCATGGACCCTAAGGCCCGGAGATTCTTGTGGAATTGTGCCCTCAGCATCGTCAAGGAGGGAAGATCTGTAGTGCTTACATCTCATAGGTCTGTAGTGTACTCTTGATTTGGTTTCTATATTGTGTTATTTAAAAATAAGATCCTAATGATACAATTGACAATGTGAAATAGGAATAAAAGGGCTAAAGGTGTAGGGGAAGTGGGAAAGGTAGGGGAAAAGGGAGAGGGAAAAAATATGAGAAAGCGAAAAAATGTAAATAAAGTATTTGTGAATAGGGAAGGGAGAAGGGGCTGAAGGGAGGGCAGGGACAAGGGGAAAAAATGAGAACCAAGACCTGTCATGTAGAGGTACAAGATCCCAATGATGAATGTAACTAACTGTACTATATACCTAGAATGTACCAATAAACTCAGTAAGAGAAAGAAAAAAAGAAGATTTCATCATGGTACTGAAAAGACAACAGGAAAAAAAATTTCCAATATGATTATTTTGTAAAGCCTAGAAAATATAGAAAGGCAAAGATGAGGCTGGGAGTGGTGGCGCACTCCTGTAATCCCAGCACTAGGGAAGCTGAGGCAGGAGGATCGCTGTGAGTTTGAGACCTCGCTGGGCTACATAGTGAGTTCCAGGTCAGTCTCAACTACATAGTGAGACACTGGCTCAAAAAACAAACAAAAAAGAAAGGCAAAGATTAAAACAGTTATTACCTGAAATTATACTGCTTGGAAACAACTATTATCACTGCTGGCTTCTGTACTTTTGCTGAGTTTCCCTATGCAAATTGATATATACATGTAAGTACAAAATGCAAGCACAGTATATGTACTGTTTTTTTGGTACCAGGGATTGAACTCGGGACCTTGTGCTTATGAGGCATATATGTACTGGTGTTTTTTTTTCCATTTAATATAGTATGAATATTATTCCAAGTCAGTAAATTTAGAAGTGTCATTATTTCATATTGCTGGGTAGTATTAGAAGGCACTCTAATTTACTTAACTCGTCCCCTTTGTGCAGACATTTGGATTGTTTCCAACTTGTGCACAATTATAAACAGTACTGCAGTGAGCCACATCATTCTCCATCTTCGTATCTTTGCAGCAGGATGTCATTATGCCCTAGGAAGCTGAAAATCTGTTTCTTTGCAACGCCAGATGCTATGGTGATATTCTGAATGGTAATAGGAGCATCTCTCTAAAACTAAAACCTTACTGTGTTTTCTAACAGCATGGAAGAATGTGAAGCTCTTTGCACTAGGATGGCAATTATGGTCAATGGGAGATTCAGGTGTCTTGGCAGTGTCCAACATCTTAAAAATAGGTAAAAATAATTTCTTTAAGATAGAACCTAGCGAGAAAGCTTAATATTTATTTTTGTGAGTATATAAATGGTGGCTTAGAAATAAAGGGAGATTAAACTGAAACTACAGTCGAAAGAATGAGGGCTCTGAAGTCAAACAGAGCCACATTAAATTTTGTCTTTATCGTATACTGACCGTGTGACTCCTGGGCAAATTACTTAACTATTCTGAAAAGCAGTTTCCAGGAATATTACTTCCTAGCCTTGGTATACAAATGAAATGAAAAAAATTCACATGTGATAATGTGATTAAGAGAATAATCTCTTTCTCAAAGGGTACATGTCCTAGCCCTACCCCTAATGAACTTTGTGTTATAAGCAAGTAACTCCTTGGGCTTCAGCTTCTCTGTAGTATCTGTCAGATACCATGGGTCCAGTGAGGATGAAATGAAATTGTATAGCCAAGGCACTGAGCATGGCACCACATACAGAACAGGCATTCAGTAAATGACAAATGGTTCGTTTTCTCAGCAACTGGTCTGTCAGGGACCTCCCTTTTGTCACAGCACAAATTGGGTTCTTGGGGTTATAAACATCCTTCTAAGAAGCTTCCTGGAGCTAACCCATTGGGATGTTTGCACCTGCTTTCAGGTTTGGAGATGGTTATACGATAGTGGTGCGAATAGCAGGGTCCAACCCTGACCTGAAGCCTGTCCAGGAGTTCTTTGGACTCGCCTTTCCAGGAAGTGTCCTAAAAGAGAAACACCGGAACATGTTACAATATCAGCTTCCGTCTTCATTATCTTCTCTGGCCAAGATATTCAGCATCCTCTCCCACAGCAAAAAGCGACTCCACATAGAAGACTACTCTGTTTCTCAGACAACACTTGACCAAGTAAGCTCTGAGCGTTAAAAGCAGATTTACTTCTCAGGGTGAGAATCCCTGCCCACTTATCCCCCACCAAAGGCCTAAGAGCGTTTCAGACTCACTGTGCTTGAATTCCTGGTTGACTATTACTAGCTATGTTTTTTACTAAGCTTAAAAGGGAGGTGCACATTCTACTTTATAGGGTTAGTGTGAGAATGTATTGTATTAACCGTCATAAATAACTACCATTTCAGTACTATCCATGAGCCAGGCATTTTGCCAAATGCCTTATCCTTAGCAAAATATCAAACATATCCTGCTACCTAGTAGGTATTCAGTAAATGTTTTATGCCCTCTTTGCTTTTATCAAGCCTATACATGCCAAAGTAAGCTAATGATTAAGCAGTTGTGAGGGGGATAATATAGAAGATCAGTTTTTAAATGATCATTGATGTTTTCAAAGTGCTCTTTCACACACAGTTGTCTAGTTAGTTTATTTATGCAATTCGGTATTCTACTGACCTAATTTCGACATAAGGGAAAATGAAGCTAGGAATAAAGAAAGAGTAATTCCAGCACTTTGGAAGGCTGAGGGAGGAGGATTGTCAAATTTAAGCCTAGCCTGGGCCACTTAGTAACAAAGACCCTAAAAGGGGGGGTTGGGGGATGGGGAATATAGCTAAGAGAGAGAGCCCGGAACTAGTGCAGTGAGGAGAGGAGGGAGGGAGGGAAGGAGGGAGAGAGAGCAAGTGGGAGAGAGAGGGATAAAGAAAAGGTATTCATACAGGTCCAACTCTTCTTTCTTTTGCCAGGTATTTGTGAACTTTGCCAAGGACCAAAGTGACGATGACCACTTGAAAGACCTGTCATTACACAAAAATCAGACAGTAGTGGATGTTGCAGTTCTTACGTCTTTTCTGCAGGATGAGAAAGTGAAAGAAAGCTATGTATGAAGAGTCCTGTTTACACAGGGAGGCTGAAAGTGAGGAGGAACCAGATCTTCCTTTGCACCATGTAAAGTGCTCCAGAGGAAAAAGCTGGAAGATTTTGTGTGAAGAAGTAAACTGGATACTGTACTGATGCTATTCAATGCAATGCAATTCAATGCAATGAAAACAAATTCCATTACAGGGGCAGTGCCTTTGTAGCCTATGACTTGTATGGCTCTCTAGTGCAAAAGACTTGAATTTAGTTTATTACCTTGTATCTATGTGAAGCTCTAGTACGGAACCCAGTGGACATACGGGTTTGAAGTCATATTTTTTTGTTCCTGTGTATTCTCACTGGGATTGCAACAATAATTCATCAAATAATCATGGCCAGTGATTATAAAAATCAAAAGGTATGTACATTCTCACCCATCGAGACCTGTCATGCCAGGAGACTGGTTTCCTCATGACACATCCATTGCTGGCAATGAGTGTGCCAGAACTACTAGTGCCAAGTTGCTCAGAAAGTCTGAGGCACCATGGTGTGTCACAGCACTTTTCGTGAAAGCTGCTCTGCTTGGAATTCATCAACATCATTAAATATCAGGTGACGAAGTGGTGCCTTGTGTGGCCATGGTCCTGCTTTGACTCCCTTTTGGTGAGCTGTTTCGGTGGCTGTAACATGCAAAGCATGGATATGTCTAGACACGGGAAACCTGGTTGTATTCATTGTTGTGTTGGTCCGTGCTTGCAGCCATGTTCGTCCCAGGCCATATTTCTGGGACTTTTTAAATACACTTCAGTCCCGGTAAGTAGCAGATCAGCAGCTATTCTGCTGGAATGAAAGAGACAGGACAGTGTATTCCAATTTAGGGAGCCTATGCCCATTTGTCCTGATTATCTGCTAACACGGTACATCTCAAGATCTTTGTTGTTTGACACAAGTGTAATATTATTTCAGGTTTTTAAAAATTAATCTAGAAAACAACAAGTAGAGTTGTATGTTGTCAGAAATCTTTGTATTATTAATGCCATTGGGGATTTTAAATTGTATCAGTGACTTCTGAAACCTTAGAGTGGCATCTTTGTAGAACCCCGTGGTATAGCGGAGTATGGCCACGTGGCCTCACTAGCTTTTATATTCCTCATAGATTTGCAGATAGCACATCTTATTTGTGCCTGGTGACTAGGAAACAATATGGTGTCAAAGATCTCATGACATTGTATTTGGGCTTCTTTAAGATCTTGTAGAAAACTCAATTTCATTTCATCAATCAAGTATTTTTTATTGTATTCTCTAGCAGAGTGAGTATGTGTATGTGGCATGGGGAGAAATTAAGTCTCACTAAATTTCCTGTGCCATGTTATTCAGCTGACTTGTTTACAAATATAAGTGGTTTTGTTGTGGTCCTGAGGGCTCAATGAAAGAATATTAGCCAGACTTTTTTTTTAAGTAGCAACAATGCAAAAGCCAAGAAAGGGTCACAGGCTAAACAGTAACTTTTTCAAAGGGAAAAACAGCTAGCTTGGAAACTCGTCACACTTAGAATCTTTAAATAATTGATCCTATAGAGATGTTAGAAACCCCATTAAATCTCTGACAATCTCAAATTTTTCATTTCTTCAGTCACTAACTTATCATAAAAAAATACTTCCCACTGAATATTTTTCAGACTTTTTAAACCTTGTATTAATTTTTTTAGTCAGTAAATACTTGTAAAAAACATTTCACTGATGCTTAATGTTATCTGCCTTGAGGAAAAACAACATGGGAGAACTATTTGGGGAAGTTCGAGTGATCTTGCATTATCATCACTAGTTCTAACCACTTTTCAATATTTAAGTGTTAACCATAAAAGTATAATATTTCAAAATCATCTGTCTGTAAATTTACAGAATTTTGTTAAGTTACTGTTTTAGAAAGTAAGGTTGATATTGTTTTCTAAAATGGTAAATCATATTTGTAGTAACTATTGGCATGAAATCACTCACTTTATCCCATTTTCAGAGATACAAAATTCAAAGAATAATTTCTGATTTTTCAAAATCAAACTTCTGTTGGTTTTCTCATCTCGCTATAATCATGTTCTAATTCTTCATTATGTTAAATCCATGAGCAACTCCTTGATTAGTCTGACTTCAAGGCCATATTTCGAAGAATCAAAAAGCACTGTGAAGTATGTTGAAAAAGTACATTTCAATATAAACTTAAAAAAATTTTTTTTTTTAAGAAAAAATTACACATTGGCTTCATTGTTATTGTGTTACCTTTTCAGGGCTGTCCAAAAAGTAATTTTAACTATTTTTCTGTGTAAAACTAATTATAGTACCAACTCTACCCTCAATTAAATAAAATTTCTGTATATTCCCTGTGGAAATGTAACTGTGAGTTCTAGAACTTCTCAAAAGAAGTGTTCAAAGAGTGCTGCTTTTGCATCTTTTGGACACCTTGAAAAACTTAACTGTGAATATGAGAAATACTAAAGAAAATAGCAAGTCCTCACTATATAAATACCCAGCACAATTCATTTATTAAAAAACAAACATGCAAACCTCAAACTACTGTATTTTGATACCTGTACTGAATGCATATTCTTTGTGACTATTAAACGTTGCACATTATTCATTCACTGTATGGTAATCATTGACTAAAGGGATTTGTCTATGGGATTTCTCATGGTTGTATATATCAGGTAAAAATTTTCCAAAGAGCCATGTGTCATATAGCAGTAAACCACTTTGATACTGAGATATTAATTTGTACTTTTGTTACTATTTACTAGTAATAATGTAATACTACAGTAAGACTGTTAATTCTTTTCAAAATTGTTGCATCCCTTTTTATAGAATGTTTATAGTTCTGTAAATATTAGTTATGCTATTATCCTTTCTTATACCCTAGGATGAAGCTGTTTTTGTGCTTTTTTCTTCATTGTTGGCCCTTCATTCCAAGCACTTTATGCTGTCTGTGATGAATCTATTTTTGCACTGGAATATCTGAGAATTGCAAAACTAGACAAAAGTTTCACAATAGATTTCTAAGTTAAATCATTTTCATTAAAAAAGAAAAAAACAAAAATATTTGTATTGTTAATAACTTTATATGATGTATTAAAGGCATATTTCTATGTTGTAATGAGTCACAAAATAAAGCTGTGACAGTTCTATTGGTCTAAACAAATTTACTTTTGTATGTTTGTAGCACCACCTACTGTTAAAGTATAATAAAGCCATCACAAAAGTAAATAGTAGGGGATAAGTCAAGTCAAGATTTTAGAAGAGGTTCAAATGCCCTATTAATCCAAAAAGATAACTTGGGGCTAGTTGAAAATAAAGAAAAGGATATCAGTTGAGATACTCAGTAACTGGTATTTAAAAAGTTTAAGAGGTTTTTAGATTATTCTACATAATGATTAAGCTGCAGAAATATCTGAAATTGCTATTGCTAAGCTTATTTAATAAAAGCTTCTGTTGGTTTTGAGGAGGATAGAAAGTTTGCCTTTGGTGCCCTTTTGTTTATTCAACCAAAAATACAAGGACACTGTGGCACATATTGATTGGGGGTGATGGCAAGAGTAAACGTGCACAAAAAGTAGAGAATATGGGTAGGGAAATGATACTGAGACAAATGGAGATTTGGTTTTTGTTGCTGGGATGGAACTCAGGCCCTTGTACTTGCAAGGCAGGCGCAGAACCACTGAGCCAAATCCCCAGCCTTGTTCTCCTGTATTGTCATGCAGTCTACACACTTGCTGGGTTTTTTTTTTTTTTTGAGACAAGGTCTCCATATGTAGTTCAGGTGGCCTTGAACTCACTGTGCAACACAGACAGGCCTCAAGCTCATAGTGATCCTCCTGCCTCAGCCTCCTGAGTACTAAGATCACAGGCATGTGCCACCATGGCTGGCTCATGATGAGCTGCTTTGATGAAACAACGTGGTTGTGCTTTTCATGGCTCACTAAACATCAGTGTCAGAAAATGACCTCTGCTTGTCTCAGTATTTAAGATCCCCTATTAAGCAGTTCTTTTTTTGGCAGTACAAGAGTCCTGGTTCTATAGTGATCTCTTTAGAATTGTAGTAACATGTAGTAAGCTATCCTGCTGGGGTACAGACTGAAATTTGTGTGTGGAAGTTTCTCAACTTTTGAGTGGGCCTGGATGCCCAATCAGTGTCACCATCATGCCCTCATGCTCCCCCTGAAGTTCCTATTAAGTGGCTTTAATGAAATGACAGAAAACTGGGTATCACAAGAGGGGAAAACTGTTGAAAAATGGTAGTTAATTTAGGCTACCCATGAATCTTGACCAAAACATTCTTCTATTTAAAGAAAAGCCTGTAGGAACTTTCCTAGATTCACAAAACTGGATCCTTTGTGGTGCTGATACATCCAGTTTGAAAACAAGTGTTGAGAAAATTAGCAACTGCTTTCAAGTTTTCACTGTTTTGTCAGACACTTCTAGTTCAGGTCCTGGCACTTCCAAGGCAGGCAGTGGAACCACTGAGCTAAATCCCCAGCCCAACAGACACTTCATTTAATCCTCAATTGCTATCTGCCTTATAAATTAATGTAGTACCATTTTTTACATAGGGATAAATTGTAGCTCTGAGCATAAGAAATTTGTCCAAAGTTACAAGGCTAAATGACAGGAATCTTTTTATTGGAAGTTAGGTGTCAGTTAAAATAGTGCTTGTAAATTCTAGTTACCAAAATTCATTAATACAACAAATGTTTATTGAATTTTGTGTGCTGGATGCTATTCTAGGCTCTGGGGATGCAATGTTTTGGAAAACAGAATGCCTGTTTTAATGAACTTATATTATGGTAGAGAATTTAGCCAGCAACCAGTGATATGGAAAAAATAAAACGTAGTAATAGAATAATGGTGGTGAGGAGTCAGAAACACTTGTCTGAGAGGACATTTAAGTTCAGATCCAAAATAAGCAGTAAACGTATTTGAAAATGGGTGGCAAGAATATTGCTCAAAGAATGCTTATTGCAAAAATCTCAAGTGGAAAATGCTTTGTTGAGGGGGAGAAAAGAGAATTCCCAAATCTACAAGCACTATTAGCCTGTCCTCTGTGAGTTATGACATAGGATTTAGAACTACCCCAGACCAGTCGCATAGCTGTTTCTCTTCCTGGGAGTACAATACAAATACCTTCATAGTCAGCAATTTATAACCCACAGGCAATAGTACCGCTTTTACTTATTGATAGCACTCATAGCAATAACTTCCACTGACCATTTACGGTGTATTTATACAGGATGGTGAAGGACTTCCAATGACAGTCATGTAATCTCCTGTTGATGGAGGATGCTATGAGGCGTGGAAGTATAATGGACTATTGTTTATAAAAATTCAAACATCTTGTTTAGTCTGTTTTTGTTACAATAACAAAATACTGGTGTCTGGGTTATATATAATGAAATGAGGTATTATACAAAATAATTTTGGTTGTTAACCTGAATGGACTGAGAGACTCCTAGAAAGATGACTGGATTGTGAGAACACTTACCTCAGCAATGGTTTAACACATTGAGTTTGTAGCTCAATGGGTTATTAGGTCATGGGACTTAGCTGGAGATACTGGATCATGGGAGTGTGACTTTGGGGACTAGATCTCCTGCCTGACCCCTTCCTCTCAGGCTCTCCCTCTGCTATTTCCTGGATGCCATGAGTTAAGCAGCATTCTTCTACCGTTTCCTTTTATCATTATGTCTCTGCCCTTGAGCCAACTTGCCATGGACTGACACCTCTGAAACTGTGAGCCCCCACCCCCAAAATAACCACGATCAAAACAAAATCTTAAAAAACAAAAATCCCTCTCTTAAGTTGTGGATGCTAGGTATTTTGTCCTGGTGATGAAAATCCAATATAGGTATATTTAGCTCATAGTTTTAAGAGGCTGAAAATACAAGATCAGTGACTCCATTGGTTCAGCTTTAGTGAGAACCTCATGGCAGAGGGCATCAGGCCAAGAGTATGTGTAAGAGAAAGAAATTAAATGAAAAAACAGGAAGTCAGAGAGTTAGGGGTCTAACAGCTCTTTCTCAAGGAAACCAATAAGGTTACCAAGAAAACTATAATAAACTCTTCTGAAGATGGCACCACCAGTGACCTAACTACCTGGGACCAATCTTTCATTAAATTAATCTCTGGGGTACCCACTCAAACTATGTCTAAATGATAGCATATTTCATATGTCAATTCAACAAAAACTTACCGAGGGTTTACCAAGTGCCAGGCACTGGTGATACTACAATAATTAAAACAAAAACCCCTGCTCCCATGAATTTTAGTTTCTAGTAGCAAGAGATGTACAATAATAGGCCATACCTAAGTAAAATATTAATTATGGTGTAAGTGACATAGAGAAAAATAACGGGATAGGGATAGTGTCTTAGTCGGTTTAGGCTGGTAGAACAGGCATAATTCTCACAATTGTAGAGGCTGAGGATTCTGAGATCAGGGTGCCAGCATTGGTTCTGGTGAGGGCTTTCTTTCTAGTTTGCTCATATGGCAAAGACCAAAAGAGAACTAAGACTCTTTGTCCAATTATAAGAATACCAATTCTATCATAGGAGCTCCTCCTCCCCACCTAAGCCTAATTATTTCCCAAAGGCCCCACCTCCAAATACCTTTACATTGGGGATTAATACTTCAATATATGAATTGGGGGTGGGGGAGGGAGGAGCATCCAATCTACAGCAAATAGGGCTGCCATGGGAGAGGACTAAAATTTTAAATAAGGATGTCAGGGAAAGCTTCATGGTGCTCTCAAGAAAGTGGGTAAAGGGGATGAAGGGAGGGCAGGGGGAAAAAACAAGAACCCAGATATATCATGTAAAGGTACAAGATCCCAATGATAAATGTAACTGTATTGTTTGTTTGTTTTAAATGTACCAATAAACTTAATGGAAAGAAAAAAAGGTGGGGGGATGATTCATGAGTATCCACGTCTAAGGGGGAACATTCTATACACAAGATAACATTAATGGGTCAAAGAAAATCCTCTTAGGCCATAGCTGGTGCTGAGGAGGAGAACTAGATAAGGTAAAAGGTAACAAGAAGGAAGATTATGTAATGTCTGTGAGGTCACCGTGAAGGGCTTTGGATACTTACTACAAATGAGATAAGAAGGTACTGGGCTGGGAAGCGGTGAGCAAGAGTAACACGATCTGGCTTCAGTGTTTTGTCATCTGGCTGCTGTGCTACCCTTGATGGGAGCCAGGGCTGGAGATCAGAGCCTTTTCTAAAAATCCAGATGATGACTGGCTTGAGCCAGAATGGTGGCTGCAGAGATGAGACACAATCAGATTCTAGATATTTGGAATTTGCTGACAGACACATAATGGAAGAGAAAAGAAGGCAATGAGAATGAGTTTGAAGTTTGTGACCTAAGCAGATGGAAAACTAGAGTTGCCATTAACAGAGATAGGGTTTCTGGGTAAAGATCAAGAGCTCAGTTTTAGACAAGTGATGTTTCTAATAGATAAAATTCGGGTGAAGGTACTAGGACAGCACTGGGATAAGGCTGGAATTCAGGGAAGAGGTATGAACTAGAGGGGCTGACAGTATACAGATGCTATTTCCAGCCATGAAACAAGGAAATGATACAGAGAATGAGTATAAATAGAACAGAAAGAGGTCCAAGAAATATTATATCAGAGGTTAAAGAGACAAGAGACAAGGTGGAGACTAGAAGATGCTTGTGAGGGAAAAAAAAAAAAAACTAAAGTAGTACTGTATTTCTAATTGCTAATAAATCAAGTAAAGTGAGCACTGGGAAGTGAGTTCTATGAGTGATTTGGATGGTATGGTGTTCAGAGAATGTTTAAGAGGGAATGGACAAAATGGAGGCAGAAGTCTGGACATCTCATTTGATGGGTACCTTATTTGAGTCATGTAAAATGAAAAAAGTGAGGCCGGTAGTTTTTCTTTTTAAAAATATGAGTACATAATAGCATATCTGTATGCTGAGGAGAAGGGCTCAGCTGAGGGGAAAATGTAGCTCCTGTAGACAGAAAAACTGCTAGAGCCACACCTCTCAGCACGTGTGTATACAAGGGAGGAGTTTGCCTTTGCTCAGAGCATGGACTGTTCGGAACAGGAGGAGAAAAGGTAGCAAAGCCATGAGACAGAGGAAGTAGACAGAGAACAGATCCTAAAGTGTGGGGGGATGAAGAGGCTAAGTAAATTAGCATACCCAACCCGACCTACTATCAGGGTCTAATAAAATGCAAGAGGCAAAGAATAGGTCCTTAACCAAAGGGGCCAGAACTGGAGGAAATGAAATGCAAATCAAACAGCAGACTTCAATGGCCTACCTGCAACCAAGAGCATCCCTGCTTTCTGTGTAAAACACTGTATAAAAAGTCAGTGGACCTAAACATATATGGTGTCAGCCTTACGGAACATCCCTTTCAGACACCTGTGAGCCTCTCTTTTATTCTTTCTAATAAGCATGCATTTGGCCATTCCCCACCACTTGCTGTTTACTCTTTTGATGGCTTCAATCTTCACTGCCCTAAAACAAGGTCTTGAGAGCTATAGGGCTCAAGTTACAGTGTAGGGCACATGAACTTGGCTTCAGAAAGTGATATGGAGGTGGAACCTTGTACAAAGTCTTCTGATTGTTTTTATTCCAATAACAGAATGAAAATGGGAACACGTGTTGAGTCATCTAAGAGACTGGAAGAATAAATGAAAGACAAAAAAGTACAATACTACTAAGATAGCAAGGTGTATGTATAAATTATTTTCATCTTCAAAATAGATTTGTTGGAAGCAAATCTCTGTTATTTTATTAGAAGTCAAAATCCAGGGCCAGGGATTTAGCTCAGTGGTTCTGCTGCCTGACTTGCAAAAAAGCGCAAGGTCCTAAATTCAATGCCCAGTATTAAAAAAAAAAAAAAAGTCAAAATCCAGTTGGAGCTAAGTATATGAATAGGTATAAGATTTAAACTAAGTGGCCCTATTTTGGCTTAAACCAGGGAAATCCTTAAGATAACTGAATGTATTCATTACAAAGATAAAAGTGGCAGCCTTCTCTTCACCTGATGCTTTATTATAGTATGGATCAAAGACAACAGATGATCATAGTCCTACAATACTACAATATTCTGCAGCAAAATGTTCAAATATCTTCTGTTTTAGTTTCAAGTTAACTTTGAAATTTTAACTTTAATTCTTTAATTGATAACATGTATATATTAATATCCACTGTGTATCAAGCCTCCAAATTTCACACAAATGTGACATGTATTCCTTTGAACTATGCATGGAAAATACTGAGAGGAATGTATCTCTATAAGATGTCACTGTCTGCCTTTCCTGAATAACATCTCACGTTGTATAATAGTGCACATAAAATAAAGAGCATCTATAGCCTGATAAAAGAGGAAACCATATTTCTATTTTCAAAATTTCCATTGAAAGCTAGTTCATAATTTACTACAGTATTTTACACTAACAATATATTTTAGAAGTACAAAACAATATAGCCACAAATATAGACTATCACGAGAGCCTGGAGTAGCAAGCCTTATTTTAGAAAAGTAAAGGTATCAGATAAAATGGAAATTAAAGATGTTTCAAGGAAAACCCTTGGACATCTATGGAAGTACTTAAAGAAATCCTCTTTCTGGGGTTACCAGAATGCTATTTTCATGATGTTACTTAACATTTATAATAAAGATGACAGATTACTACTATGTGTCTACCCTATAGCAACACAGTAAGGCCTCCAGAGTGAAGGATATAAATATAAAACACACGTTTAAAAATCAAAATGGATAAGGAGGCTTTTATTGTGGCAAGCATTTGCATAATCATAAAGATCTCTTTAAAACAAATAAATTTCTCACGATCTTTGTGAGGGACCCAAGGTGAAGTCAACATTAATAAGATTAATATAATGAACATATTTCAGCATATAACCCAACAATTCTTCTCTAGATTTTTAGTGCTGTGACATAATTACATTATTTTCCAAGTCAAAATGACCTAATGTGAAAACCATGATTAATACAGATGACAGAAGTAATACTGCACTTTTCAAAAGTAAAGAAATATACTTGTATTTTTACAAACCCCATTTGATGTCACAAAGTAAACTTTACCAGGAAAAATATCTCAGAAAAACAAACAATAAAAAGATAGTATATATAACTGATTTAGAAATATATATTGTAAGGCAAGGAAATATAAAATCATTATGTGAATATAAGAAAATACTAGAGCACAGAGCTGTCAAAATACAGAAGATATTCATTGAGAAATGAATGAAAAATCAAGATCATTAAGTAGTGACAACTATTTCTAATGTATAATTGATACTAAAATCCATAGGGAAAATGAACACAACTATTTTCTTAAGTGATAGTGACAAATTACAGAGGTCATTTTAAAATTGTGAGGACCACAGTGAATTAACTTACCACCTCCTTCAAATAAGAGTGAGAATAATTTTCTTGGGAAAATTTAAGCATCATTAGCAGACACATCCTACACCATTGAATGAAATGCTTGATATTTTCAGTACCAACTACTTCAAAGGTGAAAACGATGTAGGAATCAGAAGCATATTCTGCTGAGACTCGAGGTAGTTGACACTTTCCCGGACTGGAAAAACATTTCACAAGTAGGTATATAATGTTATTAACAATTTAATCAAGTTTGTTCTAAAAATAATCCATGCCAAGAGAAACAGCTTACCAGCCGCCACAACTCTGGGATCCTCATGAGACTGATGCCTCCCAGCTGCACGACTGTCAGCACTCTCATGCCACCAAAGAACATGAACTGCGGAAAAACTGTATGTTAGTCTTGTATTTGTTTTTTTATAGTGGTTTTTTAGTGTTACTTTAAAAATATATAATATTTCACAAGAGTCAGAGATTTGGAATAGTAATTTATACATTAATCAATCAAACTGGAAACAGGAGGCTGAAGAAAGGGAAGTAAAGTAACATTAAGGACCACAGTTAAAACTAGACCCAGGCTGGGGATTTATCTCAATAGCACATCACCTGCCTCACAAACATAGGGTCCTGAGTTTGATACCCAGTATCAGGAAAAAAAGAAAAAAAGGAAAAAGACTAGGCCCATGTCACATGCATTCCTACATTTTATTTTAAAAGGTAGATCATACTAAATTGTGCTTACATAAAAAATTTAGACACAAAGTAGAAACTAAAAATTAGTATCCTCTTAACTGCCAAGGTAAACTCTGTTAATATATATCTCCATTTTAAGAAACGAGTAAACCAAATAAGTCATTATATATTACACTTATAAAATGAAAAATTAATGGCAATAAAGTATGTAAATGATATTTTTAGAATTAAATTTGTTGATACATTAAAAACAAAAACTACACATTAACAGGGTACCATGTGATGTTAATTTTATTTAATGGCTCTAAGAATTTTTTCTTATTTAATTCATTTTTCCAAATCTTTACTGTTAATTATTTAGAGTACCATAAATACTGCAGTATTCCATAAAATAGTCAAATAGATGTTCTTGTACATAACTTACATAGTTTTGTAATTAGAATTTGCTGGTAGCTGTAAAGATTTTGGAAAATACATGGAGAAAGTAAGAACAATTTCTATTTTATCACCTCAAAAGGATCACTTTTTCATTTTGGTGTTTCAAATCAAAATTGATATATATGAAATATATATAAAATTGATGATATTTACTTTTATTTATGTATTTACATTCACACAGCATATATGCTTATGTTCATTCAATAAGATACAGGATGTATACAATGTATATGCATTTCTACTTCTGCATTGTGAGTATATTTATTATATAAATAGGGTCATATCATGTTGTTACTAGTATTTCCTTATTGTGAACAAAGCTGAAATAAACCTCATTAGAGCAGCACTCACATGGATACTTATAATAATGTTCATGACCATGACTACTAACATTTATTGGATGGTTATTATGTTTAAGATCTGGTTTTAAGCATTTTTATGTATTAACTAATTTGGTGCTCCTGTAATATAAGTGGTAGATTATTATTACCCTATTTTTATGGGTGAGGAAACTAAGGCAGAGTGGACTTTACGTAACCTACTTAAAGTCACAAAGTAATGGAACTGGGATTCAAACAGGCAATCTAAACCTATTTTCTTAATATAAACTCCTAAAATTTAAATTGAGAGAACTGAAGAGCATAGGTATTTTTATACAGTATATATACTACACACTTTCCTTCAGGAATGATGTATCAATTTATACTCTGTGTATTATCATTCTTATACATCACTGAGAATGAATTTAAGTTTAAGAAAGTTGCACACACACACATTTTCAGTAGCTTTTTTTCTTGTAAAAGCTACACATGTCCAGGGTAAGAAATTACGAGACTTAAAAAACACCTTTAATCTTACCATTCAAATGTGACTACAGTACAACATATTTTATATCCTTTCAAATTTTATTCCTGCATTAAAAAATGCATACACATACACATCTATGCATATTCCCTTCAAAATGATACTGACAAAGATGATAAAAATATGTTTTTATTTATATTGGAAAATTTTGCAAGAAAAAAATTATTCCAATAAGAAGCATATACAATAAACATATACTTAATTTTTCCCTGACCTATCTAAAACTGTAACTACATGTGGGTCTTTGCTTGATGAAAAATGGTACCTTATTATTTTAATTTGCATCTTCTTTAAAATACACTTTGTAGCTATCTATATAGCTACTTTTGCATATATTTTCTTTTGGCTTTTGAATTTCAATTATAGTTATCTGGGACATGTAGAAAATTTGAACCTTTGTATGATAAAAGCATCATGTTGACATTTTACCTTCTCCATAGTTTCTTCATTAACTTTTTGGCTTAGAAATATACTTGTAGTCTTCACCCATATTGTCACATAAATTCATTGATATTTTATTTTAATAATTTTACAAATTTATTTTTTACAATGAATTTATAATTTATTAACATTTGGTATGACAAAGACATCTAACAATTTTTGTAAATATTCTCTTTTTCATATATTTCCCAACTTGAAAAAAAAGTTTTCTCTGTATATTCTGGTTATTTTCTTTGGATATATCAGATCAAGAGCTAGGCTTTACATGGGTTAGGCTCAAGCTCTAGAAGATGCAGTAAGATTCCGTTTTCACCAAGCAAAGATCTCTATTGAGTATTCCATTAGGGAAGTTAAAAAGGCAACTGGATACAATGAATCCTTCAAATATCTTATGAGCTATTTTTAATCATTTATCTTTCTAGATGAATTTTACACACACTTTTTACAGTTTACCAAAAAGTCTCTCTGAAATTCTCACTGCAATTTTTTTCAACTTTAAGAATTAATGACTTATGGGCCGGGGATTTAGCTCAGTGGTTCTACCGCATGCCTCGCAAGTACAAGGATCTGAGTTCAATCCCCAGTACCATAAAGAAAGTTATTCTATCATCTAATGTGTCTATGCATCCATGATAGAATGTTATGAGTTTTTTTTTCTTATTGAATTTATTGGTACATTCTAGGTATACAGTACAGTTACATTCATCATTGGGATCTTGTACCTTTATATGACAGGTCTTGGTTCTCATTTTTTCATTTTTTCCTCTTACCCCTGCCCTCCCTTCACCCACTCCTCCCTTCCCTATTTACAAATACTTTACTTCCATTTTCTCCTATTTTTTTCTTTCCCCTTATTTCCTTTCCTCTACCCTTCCCATTTCCCTATATCTTTAGCCCTTTTCTTCCTATTTCACATTGTCAATTGTCTCATTAGGATCTTATGTACAATTATAGTTTTTCATACCAGAGAAACTATTTGGTATTTACATGTGTGACTTATTTATTTCACTTGAGTTTGACCTCAATATGCATCCATTTTCCTATGAATGACTCTAATTTCTCATTCTTTATGGCTGAGTAGTATTCCATTTTATAGAAAAGCCACATCTTCTTTATCCAGTTTCAGTTCCAACTGATGGGCAAATGGGCTGTTTCCAAGTTTTAGCTATTACAAACTGTGCTGCTATAAACATGGGTGTGCATATATCACTGTGGTATGATTCTTTTTGCTATGAGGTTATTACCAGCCACACATTGTTTCTAGTCTTTTTTATATCTGATAACATCTTAGTGTTAATATTCCCATGTCATTTTAATACATATAACAGTATAACCTTGCAGCACTGAGAAATGGGTATTTTTTTCCTTTGGGCTTCTCTGTTTTTAGTGTTCATAAAAATATACATTACACATTTCATTCAGAAACTATATTTCTACTCCAAGTAATATTACTTTGAGGAAAATCAAGAAAATAATACTTAGAGGAACAAAAGATGAAAAAATAATTTAAGGATCCTTCCAGTTCTTAAATTTTATTATTTTGAAAATAGTAGTAGTTCATCATTTGACATAGACTCCATAAAGTATAACATTCTAAAAAGCTAAGATTTAAACCAGGGTTTTTAAACCTTAAAATTATACAATACAAAAAATGGCAATTGGGCTGGAGATTTAGTTCAGTGGCACTGCACCTGCCTGGCAAGCACAAGTTCCAGAGTTCAATCCCTGGTATCAAAAAAGGCAATTAAAAAATTATATAATAAAATGAAAAAACGAATCTGACCCAGGAAACATAGCAGATCACCAATATACGTAAAAGTAGAGGAAGCAGACAATTGTACCTCTGTTGAGTGCTCCATATTCTGTGTGGAAAACACCAACTAGTTTTGTGTAGCCTAGATCAACATGGGCTTTAATAGCCCTTTTAAATGCATCACCCCACAGAGCAGGGCCACCAGGTTTCATCTGAAAAGTAGCCAGTTCATAGACTCCTAGAGTAGGGAGAAAAATAATTATTTCACAAAACATATTAAAGTAATTTTTAATCAAGGTTTGTTTTTTTTTTATTTCAAGAGTACAACACTACTCTCTTTAAACATACAAGATCATCCAGATATTTATTCAGCCATACTCATTAGTTGTTCACATTAACTTTTCTTGCTTTTATGTTTAGAAAGTCTGTGTATGTTTAATGATTACTTGTGAAGCTTAAGCACAGAGAAGAAAAGGAAAAAGGACTAGAATTTATATTTAAGGTATTATCTGAAATACTTTTACTCTGTAAACTTTGCTGATGCAATTGAGAATTTATAATGCAGTGGGATTTTTGAACCATTCAAGTCTATTAAAAAGATATTAATAGGAGAAATATCTCTGATCTTGAATTTTGAGAGGAGTTATTTTATTCTCTGTATAATTTCCTTTTACAGAATTCCATTTCTAACAGGACTAGCAAGTGAACAGCTAACCTGAAGTTATATCTGAGTTTTTGAGACCAAAAAAAAAAGAGAGGGCTTTACTATTCTTAAATATCCAGGTTTATTCTTGTAAAGCTTTATACTTCTAATCTGAAGAATAAGGTGAGTGGAGATGAAAAAAAAACCTAAAGGATTAGTAGATGAGACAAGAAAAGTGAGAGAAACATACAAATTTACTAAAGAAATATGAATAATACATAGAGAACCAGGACTTGACACTGCCAGAGAAGCCAAAAATTTTGAGATAGTGCTGAGAGAGGGAAGGATAAGGAGCTCTATAAGACTTCAAATTTCTTGTAATCTAAAATACACTACGAAACTGGGAATAATAGGGGAAAATAACAAAATTTAAATTGGCCTATAGTTTTCTAATCTGATCTTTGCTTTAAAAGTTTATTTATTTATTTATTTTTGGTACTGGGGATCGAACTCCCAGACCTTGTGCTTAGGAGGCAGGTGGCAGAGCCACTCAGCTAAATCCCTGGTAATAGTTTAAATCAGCATTTGTTTGTTTGTTTGTTTTTTGGTACCAGGCCCTTTTGTTTGCGAGCAGGCGGCAGAACCACTGAGCCAAATTCTGGGCCCTAAATTAGCAATTTTCAAATTGAGAAATAAGAAAAAGAAAGATACAAAAGTTGTGCTACATTAATATAGCTTAGCAGATAATTCATTCATCCCAAACAGTTTTATCAACAAAGATGTACTTAATAGTTTAAGGTTAATAATTTTTTGGAAATATTCTCTCTTTAAATGTTCATGGCATTTTAAAATTATGAATGTCATACATTGCCCTTACCTACCCACACATGGAACCCCATCCCAAAGCATAATTTCTCACGCTTCCCTGAGCAGATAAGACTTCTTCTATAACATAACATAAGTAAGTTTAACAATCAAAAATCTCAGTATAGGAAATGTCTCCATTAATTCATTCTTATATTTTAAGGATAAGCTAAGAGCTTCGATTTACTCTTATATCCACAATCATACCATGTTGCTATATAAAACAAAGAAAGATTTTTGTTTTTTCCACTAGTATAGTACTTTGATTTTTATTATTTGAGATCCTTAGCACCGTATTCATCAAAACAAAGGAAGACCTACCTTCTTTTGCAGGCCTTTCTATTTGGCACCATGGGACCAGATAAGTAATCTCACTCTCTTGTTTATCAATGAGAGCCAAATTAGGAATGAGGAACTGTTCTTGCCATTCCTTATCTTTGGCCACTGCTTTCCGGACTGCAGTTCGATGAGCAAAATTATCTATGGCAGAAAAGAATTAAGAAAAATTTAATTTAAAATCACCTATATATACTTTTCTAGATTCTATGCAAATCAGCAAACATTTATCCATAGCACACAGGAACATCGTTATGCTTTTGGAAATGCCAACATGAAGAGATATGACATTTGCTCTCAAGTTGCTCATGGTTGCAAATGGAACAGAAATGCAAAAGACAACTGTAAAGTCCTAGAATGGGCTTTATAGGTTCTACCACTGTACAGAGGTAACTGTGAGGTAGGTAATTGTACTTTTCTGTTTTAGCTTCTTATTCTGTGAAATGAAGATAATAATATCATATAGACCTCCAGGTTTGCTGTTAAGGATCTTTGAATATCTTTAAACCCTGATAGGGACTATTAAGTTTGGACACTGGTATAACAATGATTAAGTTTGGACACTGGTATAACAATGGAACTTGTTTTTTTTAGAGATATGTGAGCTTTAATATGGGAAAACCTTTTTCTGATTCCTTTCCTTTTATGATCCTAGAACAGTGTTAACGCCTAAAAAGAAACAAGGGTGCTCTCTAATCATAAAAGTATTAAGTCCCAAAGTTGAGTCTTAAAAGTTAACTCTCAACTTCCATTACCTAACGATCCCAAACATTTGAATTATGTCTACTAAGATGCTGGTCTCCAGCCCCATCTTTGTTAATAAGAAACAAAACTTTGCTAAGAAGAAACACTGGGTAAGGTGGCCCATGCCTGTAATCCTAACACTCAGGAAACTGAGACATGAGGATCAGTTTTCAGACCATCCTGGGCTATATAGCAAGTTGAAGGTTTATCTGAACTATGTAATAAGATCCTACCACAAAACAAAGTAGAAAAAAAAGATAGTTTTTTGTTTTGTTTTGTTATCTTAATCTAACTGAGGACTTGTAAGTACTACTTCAAATTTTTCAGAAACCATCTTTCCAGTAAACCATTCTAAAATTTTTCTGAGAATTAGTCTATTTCATCATGTTATAATTTCATACATGAGACTACAAGTTCCCACCCATAATAACTTTAAGAGTTTGAGCAGTGTCCTCAGAGATGGACAACTGTATGTAATTTACACTCAAGAAGTAAGTCTCATGTAACACGCAGCAGAATCAATACTGTACTGAATACTTAATTGGGATGACTCATACCGTACTTCCAAATATGAAATGCTTTGTTCATTCTGCCTCCAAATTCTACATTCCAACATCCAAGCAATTCAGAGTGAGCTGTCCGAAGATGAACATATTTCTTAAAATTTTCCAGGAACGCATTCATTTTTGAGGGTTTAAGATAATAGGTACGGAATTCATAAAATGTTCCATCATTTTGCCTGGGGCCTGAAGCAAAAGATGAGTACACCTGAAGACAGTACAAAGCAAATTTAAATATTTGGGGGAAGATAGGATTTATTATGTTATAAGCAAATCTGAGTGTGGCAACAACTGGCACATAAGTCATCTTGTTTGCTGTTCTCCTGTCAATTCTCCACAGAATTGTTTCTGTAGAGATAGCAGTAAAGAAAACTACTCAAATATATTTATTGAATCGCTACTGTTTCCTACCACGGGTTGATCTTCAGCCACTTTTAGTGAGAATCTATTCACATGAAAGCCCTGGAATTTATATTCCTTAACCTGACAACTGCAATTAGCATTCTCCTAAGTTTACACAGTCAAAACTTAATAACCAAATTTTTATTAGCCAATAACATATGTGCTTAAATGATGCATATGGAACTTTACTAATTCTGCATCATGTCTTGGCAGACACGATGAAACATATTTACCAGTAGAACTTTTTTTTAAGTTCTTAAAAACCAGAAATTATTGTGTCAAAGTATTTCTTATTCACTTAAGTACATCACTGGTCAAAGATAGGACTGCAATGTAACAAATGCAATTGGGCGCTACGTGCTATTCAACTGCTCCGTAAAAGTGGTGGGCTGTATTGGCGCTTCAGGTGTGGCAAGCAGCTGTCGGACCAGACTCCACCTACTTTCAGGTGGACTGGTCTAGAGGAGCCACCCAAACAGAACGCCAGGCAGCGCCCGGGCCCTGCTACCACGTGACAAACGCTCCCGGATGAGCAGCTTCCTTCCCAGCGGCGCCTCTTCTCCTCCTCTGCGTCTCCTTTCTCACGCCCGTCCCGCCCCAGAGGTCCCCGCTCCCACCAGAACCCGGCTTGCGGCTGAGGAGCCGCGGCTGGGAGCGCTCAGGTTTTAACTCAGCCCGAGGGGAGGCAGGGCGCAGGCGTGGGGCTCGCGCGCTCCCACATGCCCCCCTCCACCCCCGCAACGCTCAGCGGCGCCTCTTCTCCTCCTCTGCGTCTCCTTTCTCACGCCCGTCCCGCCCCAGAGGTCCCCGCTCCCACCAGAACCCGGCTTGCGGCTGAGGAGCCGCGGCTGGGAGCGCTCAGGTTTTAACTCAGCCCGAGGGGAGGCAGGGCGCAGGCGTGGGGCTCGCGCGCTCCCACATGCCCCCCTCCACCCCCGCAACGCTCTTCT